CCCTGGCTGGGGAATTCTGGGAGTTGAAGTCCACACACCTTAAAGTTGCCAAGTTTGAAAAACACTGACTTAAATGCTTCTTGCTTCAGAATCGTACATCTTATTCTCTCCCTCCTCCTTGGTTGCACCAGAGTGGTCATATTTATAACTGAAGGGATAATTGCAACTTTAACTTAAGTAATTATTTCTCTGTAAATGACCACTTCTTGCTTTTCATAACTTCTAGTTCCTGGACAACATTTTATTCTTATGTTCAATTAAACCTAGGACAGCTGACATTACTACTGCTTGTTATTCACCAGCTAGGCTTTAAAACTTAACATTGGCAGAATTGCATCCTAAGAGCTAAGGGTAATGGTTAAAGCAATTTAGGCAATCTCGTTCTCTTTGTGTGTTTTGAAAAACAATTCCATAACACTCTGACATTCTAGTCAGTTGGGGTTTGAGAATTGTGGTCCAGAACATCTGGAGGACATCTTGTTGCCTTCTGGATTTTTGTTTCCATGCTTCATTCCAGAAAGATAAAATGGCTGCAGTCCAAGAGTAATATTTTATATATCAATGTCACTGTAAAATGGAAAATTCTACCTTGTCTAAATTTAGACAGCCTGGTTTTAAGACGAATAGGTGGCTAAATGCTGTTCTGTCACACTATATGGGCACATTTTATTTAGAGGTGTATTTATTTCTTTAAAAAAAGAATTATACCGGTAAAAGGAGACAACATATTTCCCACTTGTTAAACTCATAGGTAGAGCTGAAATTCTGAGAAAGTTTCAGTGGCGCTACCATAAAATAATTGCCATGAGGGCATGGCTACACACAAAACGGCCGCCACGGGGATGTGGCCATTCACAAAAAGAAGCCAGACCAGTCTATAATTTATATAGTTCTGTAAAAGGTATTCAGCATTCCTGGTCTTTCTTTATATTTTGTTGTTCGTTTAGTATAGAAATGCTCACATACCAAATACTGCATGTTGTTTTGAAGAATTTAAACAGAATTTGATCTATTGTCTTTCTTTATATTTTGTTGTTCGTTTAGTATAGAAATGCTCACATACCAAATACTGCATGTTGTTTTGAAGAATTTAAACAGAATTTGATCTATTGTCTTTCTTTATATTTTGTTGTTCGTTTAGTATAGAAATGCTCACATACCAAATACTGCATGTTGTTTTGAAGAATTTAAACAGAATTTGATCTATTGACCAGGAATTTTTTAAAATCATTGTTAGCAAAACCTATTTCTAATCCAAGAATGTTTAAAAACTCAAGTTTGTTTTCTCTTTCTTTGAAATTCCTTTAGGATCTCTTCACTTAGACACATTATTTTTGCTACAGGTAACTATAGCTACTGACTCAAAATGCAGAACATGCCACTTTGAAAAGGCTAAAAAAACCCAAAAAACTCAGCACAGTATGCATCTGTGACAGACAGCTTTAAAAATATTTCAGATTCCTGTCCTTATCAATTAGCATAGAAGCTCCCACATGTCAATGCTGCAGAGAATTACTGAATCAGTACTGTATGGTGATCATATCTAGTTACATATCTCCACCCTGGGCCGGGCAGGGGATGCTGTGGCAGTGCTCACCCAGTGCCTGGAGGCTGTGAGGGTCTGGATGGGGAGAAACTGGCTCCAACTCCACCTGGCAAGATACAGTAGCTTCTTTTTGGCTCTCCAGGGCCTGGCAGTGTGTCATATTTTACTCTGGAGGGGGTGGAACTCCTCTGCACTGAGCGGGTGCACGATTTGGGGGTCCTCCTAGACTCACGATTCCTCCTCAAGGAGAAAGTGGCAGCCGTGGCTAGAGAAGCCTTTGCATAGATTCATCTTGTATGCCAATTGTGCCTTTTCCTGGACCAGGAGATTTTGCTCATGGCCACTATTTCTGATTGGACTACTGCAGTGTGCTGTCTGTGGGACTGCCCTTGAAGACCACCTGAAGTTACAACTGGTCCAGAATGCAATGGTGCTGGTTATCACCTTTAAAGCCCTACATAGCATGGGGCCAGGTTATTTGAAGGACCACCTCTCTCTAAGGATATCTGCTTGTTCCACCAGATCAGATAGAGTAGTCATGCTCCAGGCCCCATTCCATAACTTTTAGTGGGACCTATGAAGTATCCCTCTTCCATGGCAGCCCCTGCCCTGTGGAACACACTTCCCCTTGTGCTCTGGCAGCCCCCCACACTCTTAACCTTCCAGAAAGCTGTGAAGAGTCAGGTCTTCCCCCAAGCACTGGGATAGGGTGAGGTTGGAGCCTGAAAATGGCAGTGCTGGCTGTATCAATGGAAATTGGTTGTGGTGCTGGGTTTCTTTGTTTCTATTTTTATTGTTTTCTGCTTTTACCTTTTATTTGATGCTTGTTTTTTATATATATATGTTGTATTTCTAAGAAAGGTGGCCATACAAATCTTTTAAATAAAATAAACAGTTATGCCTTTAGGCACTGATAGATTCAGAGGCAGATAGGGGATTTGAAACACTGATGGATTGGGAGACCTTCCTTCTCCCTTTGACTCTTAACCTTGCATGTTGTATTTTTAGTCTAGATTAAAGGAGAATAATCTGGGTGAGTAAAGAGAATACATGCATCAGGTTACCAAGAGCTGTTGGTTTCATAAGAAACAATTGTCTTTTTTTGGGGCGGGGGAAGGGGACCCAATAATAGTAGAAAACAAGATAAAGTCTGTTGGGAAATCAAATTTTGCAAAGAGAGATTTATTTCCAGCCTCAAGCACAAGAGATGAAATCTGTGCCCCTCCAACATTTAATAGTTAGAAATAGGATATAACTGTAAATAGGGGCTCTGTTTAACAACCATGGATAATAGGAGGGATATCTTTTGAAGAGTTCTTGGCTGGTGGAACAAGGTAAGACATTTGTGGAAGTAGTTCTATGATATAAAGTTTATAACAATCCAACTTTTGGAAGCATTAGCTAGTCCAGTTATAAGATAACACATATACCTAAGACATACATATATATTTGCCAACTCTGAGGAATCAAGTGGCTTTGGGCAGGGGAGTGTTTCAATATTTTGCAAAGCGGAATAATACAGTATTACTTGATTGTTCTTTATATTGTGATGTGATTTATCTGATTCATCGGCTTTGACTTCAGATAGATAGAAGAACTACTCTGTAGGAAAAGAACAGTCTGAAATAACAAAAATTATCTGATACATTGCAGATATGTAAAATTTTATAGTAATCCAGAATGTAAAACACAAGCTTTTTTAAAACAGAAGAAACTTTAATGTCTTAAAGGATAACTTAAGTTAGGATTCTTCATGTATTTCATTCTGTAAATTTTTCTCTATGCTTTGGACTATCCATAACTGGAGTAGTAATTAAATACTTTTGGCAAGGGGCACTTAGCTGATGAAAAAATAATTTAGATAGGAAGGGCAGTTGACTATCATTTGCTTACATGTTTTAGAATGAGGACTACAACAAACTTCCTTCAGAAGAGGTAGAAGAATGGGAGCTCATGTTACAAAATTCAAAGGAAAGTTTGATGGCACTGTAACTAGTAACACTAACATTTTTGTTGCAACATTAAATGTACCACGAATAATCTTTTGGTGAAGCAAAGATTTGGAGTAAATAGAGGTCAGAAACCTATATTTGAAATCTTGCACTGTTTTTGACTAGATTATTATCTGAATGATATGCCAGGTTTATTTTTTCTAAGTGTGATTTTTATAAATTGTACTACTGTATATAAGCTTTTAGACTTAGTTTTATGCTGTTTCATGGAAAATTGTAAGACAGTGTTGAGATGGTGAAGAAACAACTTTGTGGCTACACAAAGCCACTTTCTCTCAACCAAGTTACCAATATTGGGCCTAAATTCTCAATTGGCACAAATTCCCAGACCTCACTGTAGTTGATGCCATTGCAGAGTTTTGGAGAAACATGTCCATAGTGGCTATGCAAAATGCTGCAGAAAAAAGAGATTCTGGAAATTTCATATCCTTCAAATGTGTTATGATAGCGGTGCATCATAGGCTTGATTGCATAAATACTAGTTAATTCTTTATAATAATGCAGAATGTCTGTTTTGCTGATGAGGAAAGGACAAAGGGTTTAGGATAAAGGTTTTTGTTGTTTTGTTTTTGCAAATTGCTGAAGTTGAAAGTGTCAGCATTTTCTGTTCTCAGCCATGATTCCTTGTGGTTAAAACGGAGTCAGAAGGGCTGGTAAAAATAACTGTACTTTGCCTGCTGTTCAACATTCCTACTCCGTTGCCAATTTTCTTGTTTTTA